ACTACCTATACATTATTAAGCAAGGGCATTCCATAATGATTAACAAAGCATCATAAAGGACCTATTATATTACAATATATGTCCTTGAGCAAATAGTTACCTGTTCAGGCATCTGATATGATTTCATCTTTGCTTTCATCTCAATATTAAAAATTTGTAGGTGATCTTGAGTAGTCCCTTGCAGTTGGGCTTCAAGAGAATGATGTAGCTTGTAAGTGAAGATAATACAAAAGTAAACAAAATTTCAAATGTGGCACCAACAGAAGCACGAGGCACAACAAACTGAAAACTTGAAGTTTGGCCACTTTTTGGGAGGGCAAGCATTAAGATCGGTGAACATTGTAGGTCATTTCAATGCCGATAGTTTTCTTTTAACATTGACAACCAGGTCAAATGTCAACAACGTGAAAAATATGTAGGTTTGCAACATTTAATCAGCCTAATGTGAAATTGAGGATCATTACTATATTAGCAAAAGCGAAAGGCATGGAGAAAAATACTTATCAGATTCACTGCATTTCAGAGAAATAAAGTTCATTTATATTCATTAAAATTAACTAGAGTCATAGCTCAACCATCATTGCTTTCTAGTTTCTGTCTACCTAAATAAAAACCCTCCTTGTATCCTCTTGAGGAAGAGTGAGAATAGAAGTTCAACAATAATTTTCCAATAAATATTATTACATGAATCCCTTAAAGACATGATCTTTTAATTTCATTAAATTAAATTTAAATAAGGTTGCCAGTTGATTTCAGTTTCCCCAGCTGCACAGCTCTGTGCCCTTAGAGATCATGGTGCATATAAATACTGACTGTGGTAGAGACAGCCCAATAATCAAGTTATCAGAAAGTAAATAAGGGCCAGAAAACCCAAAAATAGCACCAGTCATGGTCTTTCTCAACAAAGTCACTATGCCATACATGAAACAGATAGACTTGTTCAAGTGCTTCAGGTCAAACTAGTCAACATTAAGCAGTTTGTTTCATTTCATCCAAGAGTCGCATCAATAAAAATAATAAAATAAAAGTAAAGGAAGCTCCAAAAAAAAAAAACTGTTGAAAGAAATTAAGCTTCCAAAAGATTTTGATATCTACAAAGACAGATTACATATCAATACTAAAGTGCTAGTATATAACGAATCATGAATACTATCAACCACAAAACAGAACTCACGGATTCAGGATAAGATTACAAAATGCGTATCCTACCTTTCAAAGCAAGGATTCTAGAATTCGGATTCATAAGAGCGGAATCCGCGGTGATAGGCCTTCTCAAAGGTTGCATTGGCATATTCATATCAACGATAACCACGCTATTCTGCGGAGCCGTTTCTCGAACACATATATACTTATCGGATTCCATCGTCACATGCGTGAAAGTGATGAATTGTGTATTGATGCCAATGCTCGGCAACTGCAATCACAAATTAAGATCGCACAAATTACATCACTCAATTCACAATCAGGCAAAATATACGTCAACAACAACGAATGATTGTGCTTCTCACTCTTCTGCTCAGAAGAAAAAAAAAAAAACACAGATCTACGCATGCTACACAATAATCAAACTAGTAAACTAAAATTGCAGCACACTCGACTTGGAAACCAAAGTTGACCAAGTATACCGCAAACATCACTAATTACCACAGAATTAAGTGCTTTCGTTCTTGCATCCGGAGCTAGAAATTTGAAGTGATCTCAATAAACAGAGAAAAACAAAGGTCGCGAGCTCTGTGGGAATAGAAATCGAAGGAGAACGAGAACTCACAGTTAGGGCTTCTTTCATGGTGATCGGAGCATTCGCGGCCGCCATGGTGGCTTAGATCGAGGAACTGAAAATCGAAGAGTCGGATCTGCAACCGGTGATCGAATTCGTTGACGGAGAGTGGAAGAGTGAAGAAGGTTTGAGAGAGAGAGAGAGCTTGAGGAGGATCCAAATCCCTGCGAGATCTGGAAGTAGCAGAAGAGAAGACTTGGACCCTCTTCAGAGCAAAGAGGAGAGAGAGAGAGAGAGAGGTGGAAACGGGATATTGGAGTTCTGACACGAATAAAACGGGGTAGAAAAAAAGAAAGGGAGTGGAATTGAGTTGCTGTGTATTATGACGAGACGAGAAGCATAGATCTCGTCTCCTATTAGACAATCAAACGAAGCGAAAATATTTAGGAGGGTAATACATAAAAAAAGAAATTAAAAAATTAATAAAATCTTCAAAGAAAAAGAGACTGTAGAGCCGTGTCAACGTGCCCGCCTTGACAATGCATTTGCTTTGATTTTTTGTCACGTTAGAAGTTGTCTTTTTCATGTCCGTTTAAAATTAGACGCAGCGAAAATAAGAGAGGAATTTTCAGAAAAGATCTGCTCCTTTCATCTCCAGCAAGGAATGCTTGATTTTATTCAGATGCTCGATTATAGTACTAGGTTTAGCATAAATAATTATTATTTATTTATTTTTATATTTTTCACTTGTTATTGTTAACGAATTAAAGTATAACAAGTTTTAACTACCGTTTTTAATATTATTTATCAATCAAAATTATAGTTTTATGTTAATAACTTACAATAATATTAAATTTTAACTTTTTACAGAAATAAAATTCTAATTTTGATTAATAAATAATATAAAAATACTTCAAAAACTTGTTTATTATATACTAAGTTAATTTCCCCTTCAAAACTCTATTTTTCTAAAGATAAAGTCTGTATTTATATTTTTTATTTAAAAAAATGTGTAAATTCCATTTTACTTCATAACGAATAAGTACTTATCGCCCATCTATTTTATAACATTGCACTGGATTAGTCGATTTTTAATTTAAAATAAACAACAAAATACATTCTTCACAAAGAACAGCAACAATTATTTTCTATTTCTGGATAAACCAAATATGAACTTATACAAACATACCATTAATTAACAGTGATGCAAAACTGAGTTTGAATATTAAAATACCAAAATTCATATACAAAGATTGTTTATAGAGTTGAAATTTTCTTAAAACAATTTGTGGATAGCGTTAATTTGGCATTTGAGCTTTAAAATACCATGAATTGGCATTTTCATCCTGGTCACCATTAATTAATTATTCGTAGCTTTACATATTTATGAAAGGTTTTTTTATTTGATTTATAAACACCTTTCACAAACACAATTACATTCGAATGAAATAAAACTACTGGTTAAGCAAATTTATTCACATGTTCTATTATTTATTACAAGGCTTAAAACTGTGTAAACTCGGTTAGGCATACAAAGAAAAAATATATATATTAAGAAAATGTTGACTTAATTAATAAAGCTCTTTGCTGGTAAATGCAAGTTGTTGAATCAATCTTTTTTCTTTTATTTATCTATTTAAGTGTATGTGTATGTGTATGTGTGTGTGTCTATATATATAATATATATATATATATATATATATATATATTCAACAAAAATATTTTTAATATAAAAATAAAAATGATAAACTTATATCATTTAAAAAAATAAAGACATAATAATTTTTAAAATTCACAAAAATTTTTAAAATTATTACGTGAATTTGATATGTTAATCTTCATCGTTTATAATAAAAATTATTAATTAAAATGTACTCTCATAAAAAAAATCCTTATATGATATTTTTCTATAGGTATATTATACATACACTAGAAAGCAATCAATACTTTGTACTAGAAGGAAACCAAGCTACTTGTTAATGCAACAGTTTTATTGGCCTAAATCCCCGGTTCGTCTTCACGGTGTGAAAAGAGGTACGTGCGTTGTTATAATTTGAATGTAACCCTCGGAAGTCTTATTTACCCGTGATTTCCATCGCACTTGATATTAAACGTGCCCATATTTTACGAAAGTGCACAAGATAATAACATTAAGTCGAATTTGGCTCCTTTAAAATTATAGGAGAAATCAATGTAAAATGATTAATACCATTTTTAATTTAAAATATAATAAATATTTAAATTTAAATTCATTTTGAATATCTACTTACTTTTTATTTATTTATTTATTTATTTTACTTTAAAAAGGATGAATATTAGTGATTCAAGATGAGCTGTTAGGATTCATGGTTGGTCATTCAGGTTTGAAATGATGTATCATCAATTCGAACTTAAACTAATCCATATTTTTTGTCACAAAATGAAAAAAAATTTATTAAAAGAATAATATTTATTACATAAAAATTTAAATATTTATTAATATAATAATTTATTGAAAAGCATTAAAATTTTGTCATTATTTAGTTTGAATTACAATTTAAAATAATTTCACATTTATTAAAAATATAAGTACATGTTCATAATAAAGTGAAGAATACTTTAAGATTAAGTCAAAATAATTATACTTGTATATTTTTTTAAGATGCAAATTAATTGAGGTAAGCCAAATATTTGAAGTTTAAATTTAGTTTAAAAAACTGATTCATTTATTTAAATAAATAAATATTTAAAATTTAAGTTTAACTTTATTAAAATTGGTGAAACTTGAATATAGTTAATTAGCCTATTTATAACTTATTTTTTAATAACTTTAATAAATTTTATTTATTAATTTAAAATTTAATAAATATTTTTATAATAAAAATAAATTCAATAATAAAAAAATATTTTTATCTACATATATTTTAAGATTAAAAATAAAATATTTCATTACGAAAATGATAATTAATTTAATCCACCTTTACGTGAAAATATGGATGGGAAGAATAGTTTGTGGTATATTGTCTTTCTTTCTTTCCATTAATTTATACTTGTACCTGCTAGGGAGAGAGAATGAACAACTTAATAGTCTCGTGAAAATTTTATTACACATAATCATATTCCAAACTGTCTGAGAAGAAGGAAAAAAATCTTTTAACATGGCTATTTGGATAGTCCAGACAAGTTATGTATACATTTCAAAGTAGTAATATTGTAACTAATGATTGCATTAAGACAGGAGGACTATTATGGTTTCAAAACTTGCTATTAAAAAATGCAAATTAGAAGAAACGTGCATAATTGCGGGGGGAACCGAACCTTCATCACATTTTTGATCCTTTAGAGAAGAGAATCTCCCCATAAGACACCTTTTGCTCAACTTTCAAGACATCGCGGGAAGCAAGAACTAAGCACGAAAGAAATATAATAGATATTGGAACCTGGAATGTTCTTATCAGTGTATTAATTATTAAAATATTAATATAAAAATTAAATAAAAAGACTATAAATGAATACCACAAATTTGATAAAAAAGTTGTGCTGCTGAGTGTCGGGTCATTCCAGCAGCTAAGATATCAAGAGATTCAACTGGAGGAGCTCCAGGCATGTCGAAATGTGCCTTCATCTGCCTGCTCGCACTCAAATACAAGGAATGTATTATTTTCATTGAAAATTGCCTTCGTAACGAAGGTTGATAAATTTCTAAAAGAGATCCATACGCTTGGATGGAGCCGGTTATCTTGTCACTAGGATGATTGATGTTTACTTGTGTTTGCGTGGGTCCTGTTTCCACTAGTAGTTCTGAAAAGGAACTTATGAGGCTGACGTATGTACCAAGTGAATAAAGAATATACCATTGCAGCTTGGCTTTTCCCAATATTAGAAAGCCTTAACAAGTAATATACCTTGATCAGGTGCGGGATCATCTTCGGACAGTCTAGACAAGTTGAAATTTACGTTCTCAACTACCGGTTCAAGGCCTCCACTGCTATTTCCGGATGATGAATACCTTTTCTTTTTGAATCTGTTTACAGTTTTAAAGCATAAGACTATTACAAATCTTATTCAACAATGTCAAAACTCTTTTCTTTATTTGTGCATCAGATGTAAACCCATAAATTAGTCTTTGTAATCATATAAATTAACCATTTAGTGCTTCATGATAATTTGAAAACATTTCATAAGTCTGATTTAGCAACATTCATTCATTTTAGTTTTTCTTTTTTCCCCATCATTATGTATTAAGAAAGATTAAGGTGAATAATGTTTTGTAATGTCATAAATTCGTAATAGGAAATTTTTAAATCGTAGAAACTAAAAGACACAATCCCATACCATTTTGAGGGCTAATTTTAGGGTTTACAAAGTTGGTACTATAATGAGCAGTTTACATAATTCCCATATGTAATTTAACTGCATTCAATAAGTTATAAATTGAACTACCTTCCTGAATCAAAGTCTGAATGTGAGGCGGGATCATGCTCAGATGCTGGTCTTGGAGATGAATGCACACTGTCTCCTAGAATTTCATGTTAAAGAAACAATTATTCATATTTTCTCTTAGTCATAAGCATAAATTTCAAGAATTAGAGAAATGAAATGTACTAGCTTTCACTAATGAGACCCGTGGAGTAGCTTCAGGTCCTCTCAAAAAGTTAGCCATCTGTTCATCCATGAGGATATTGTTCCGCTGCTTTTCTATTGGAGTTGCCTGGTGATCTAGCCTACTGTCATAATCTTCAAAAGGCTTCATATTTGGACATTTTATAACATAAATAAATTACTTATCCGCTTATAATGTATAAAAGCAATCAAAAGAATGGTTATAAGACTAACAAATCCCATGAAATCTTCGGTATATACTCGTGGAGGTGAAGAAAATGATGGTTCTTGAGGATGGTGGGCTGAAATCCTTTCTGCATAAAATTGTGTTACTTTCTGCTAAACGCCTTAACTTTTTTTCATATAAATTAAGGTTGATTAGTTTCTCTATAGCTTAATACCATTTTAACATTCCCAGAGACGGGAAGAGAGTGTGTGAGAGGGACACTTGACCTGAATGCGAATCATGGGGTGGTTGAGTGCTCTTCATCCATAAATTCAGAATAGGTGCTGGATAATATATATCGTTATTTTCACTGGTAAATAAATCACCAATTAGCACAACGGGTGGCAGCTTCATGAGGCTTGATATCTTTATTGAAGATATGATATTAGTTCGCTGAAACATAAAGAAACAATATTTTGTTGTGTAAGTATATGATGCCTACATTGCAAATACACTTCATTCAAAACACATGTAATGCTAGCTGCATAGTGGATATCAAATAAAACCTTTTTATTTCTTCCCCTTCTGGAGACAATATCAGAAGCATTTTGAAGCCAATGTTGGTATATGTGAACAGGAATAATGGTTTGCTCATAATCCATTAAGGTTGTCGCTGATTGTTTTCTTTTTCTCTTATTTGGCCTCCGCCTTCTATGTTCCTGTTGCATTGCATTTCTAAAGTTGGTCGATTTTTTTTTTTCTAATATTCATGCTGATTGTTGTACTTAAACAATTATACTACCTCTCTCGGTATCATGCCTTCATCAGATTGCTGAACGCTCGGGTGTCCTGGATGTTGTCCCTGATTTGTATCATCTGCAGAAGAGTTTTATATCATGAAGCAATGAGAAATGCCATCAAGAAATGGCAAACTCGATCAATGATTGCAAGTTAATTCCACTCAAATTTTTCTTTTTTCTCTCCTAAAAATACCAGTGTAGCGAGTCATACCCGCTAGTGCACGTAATTACAACTATTTTCAACTCTTATAGTTTTACACCATTGTTTTTTTCTTACATTCATTTTTCATCGTCTTTATGTCTTCTTTTTCTTTTTTTAATCACATCACTGGTAGTGGTGGAATGGTGCTCTTACGCTAACACTATAGACTCCATTGACATAGCTAACAATAACTTTGTTATATTTCTTTACTTATTGTTTTAAAAATTTTCTATTAATTTATAAAATAATTATTAAATAAAAAAGTCTGTATTTATTATTTTTATACATATTAAATACTTTATTTATTTTAATATTTATAATAACAAAAAGGTAAAAAAAATTAGAATTATTTTCACTAATAATACTAGTATTTGATTTTAAATTTTTACATTCATTAGTTTTTTAATGTGAAAAAATAGTTTGCTACTCTAGTTAATTAGTGACGATAAAGATTTAACTATATATTTTATTTTATTAAGATAAAAAAATTAAAATATACTCATCATTCTACATAGCATAGATTTAGATTAACATTTTTTATAATATAAAAATGAAAATATAAAAATATATTTTTTCTTTTAGACTTAAAGACATTTCATGATTTTTTTTTTTTATTTCTTATGCTGGTTGTTACTCAGATCAATCTTCGTTAGTACATCTCATTGTTTTTGACTTTGAATAAAAAATTATATATTAAGGTATCAATTTTTATTTTTTATTGTCAATTAAATTACAATTTTATAAATATCTATTGTTAGAAAGAATGACATTTATAGTTAATTTCTTTTATGACCTTGCTTGATAGTACGTACGTTCTATAGCCTTTACTAGTCTTATATGTAATTGTGTAGAGACTAAAAATATATGTATTAGAAGGTTAAAGAATAATGACATTAGACATTTGATCAACAGTGAGTTAGAATAATTTTCATACGTTTAATGAATTGATATTTGTTTTTTTATAAATTTGTATAAATTCATTGAATTATCTAGTTAATTTATAAAATTAGATTTCAAATGTTCAGTTAATTTTATCAAATAAATAATTTTATTTCAAGAATAAAAACAATTTAATTACAGAATTCAAACAAAAACTTCTAAAAATGAAAAAAAAAAGTTTAAATACCTTGTCCGAATATAAATTTTAAAAAAAGGGAGTTGAGAACGAAGCAAACTTATTTATTCAATCCAAATAAAATATTTTCAATAATATAATTTAAATTTAAAAATTCATAAAAAAATTTAATTGCACTGTAGCCTTAGTGTCCATGTATAAGTGATTTTAATTACCTTTCCTTGGCTGGCGTGGTGAGGGTATAAGGGTGGAAAGCACTTGATTGTAATATCCAGAAGTTATGTTTACGTGCGTTTCCTCGTCTCCTTCGATATCAAACCTGTCATAACATTCACATGCAAAACAATATATATATGTGATAATAATTAGTCATCCTCAAGATTCAAGAATAAGCTGTTAAAATTCATGATTGATCTAACTGGAAAATGAAAATACTCATAAAACACCGCAATATTGACATATATAATGCACAAGTTTGCTTATGAAAATGACTAAATGGAATGTCCCAGTAAGAAAATTACAAGCATACAAAATAAGGATCATTGAAGCTAGAGACCTCTCAAAGTGATTGTAAGGATCCGCACTAGCTTTGAATGACTCAAAACGTTCAAATAAGGTAATGTTCTCTGGATCAGCTGAGAATGATAAGATAGAGTTAGCTAAGAGACATTTGCATGTACTGCATACACATGTATATATTTGGCAAATTCAAAGGCGAAAACCTTGATGGAGAAAGTCTGATGGATCTGTCTCCCCTCTTGCTCCATTACTAACGAAAGATTCATCCACATTATCAAGTCGCTGCAACAAACAGAAGAGCATTGATAAGCGCAACCCACCTTGTCTATTAAGTTTCCGCCACTTCTTAATTTTGGAGAATTTCATTTACCTAATTGGTGATAGGACTCAAAATACTCTGTCGTTCTTGCAAGGCAATATAATTAATATGATCCACCAATGCCTTCAATTGTAAATTAAACTCCTTAATTTTTATATCCGATCGATGCAATTAACTTAGTTGTTTCTAGGATAGCAAGTCACAGCTAGAATCAGCTTCCATAATTTTTTTTCTACACCACATATAAATTTGCTTGACACTATATGTTCAACATGGCATAAATATACATTTTGGGTATAGTGCAGTGAGACCTGTACACACCATGGTAAAATAGGCGCCATCTTGGAATCCCGTTGCTGTGGCTGTGTTGGGAAACTTAAGGGACTGTTCAATATCAGCCGCATTTAGCTCGCAGTTCTCTGGCAGAGTAACAGCCTCTTTCCTATTAAAAATAAGTTAATATTCATAGAGTTTCGATATTTATCCGATGCATCTGTATTTTTTTGGTTACATTGATGCATCTGTGTGAACGAAAAAATACTAATACAATAAAAATATATTTTAAAAATTCAATTCAAAATATAAAATATTAAAAAAAATAACGCCTCTCACTTATTTGTATGGCTCGTTATCGTTAAAAATATCAGCATATATAATTATTAATTATTAATTTACATATTTTTTTATGTTACTGATATTTCAATTTTTTTCTTTAGCTTTTTTTTTTTTTTTGCATGTATATGTATATGTGTGTATACATGTATGTATATATATGTAATTTCCAGTGTCCTATAATTTGCATACGACCATACGAAGATATCCGTGAGTTAAAATTGAAAATAATAATAATCTAGAGCCAATATGACTAACTTTGCTTTAGATTTTCCTTTGGGGAGCAGTGTAGGATCTGGAACACTCTTGACCTTCCAGGCTTCGTTTATCTCAACCTTGAACAGTCAAATTGAAAAAAAAATGTAGGGACGAAAGGAATCGAACGGAAAATATAACACAGGAAAAGTTGAAGTTGAACTTTATACCAGAAAACGGGTAACGTCATCTGCGAGAGGAAAGATAAAATTAAAAACGAGAGAGAGAAAGAGAGACAGGAGGATTCAGATTTTCAGAAATGCTCTTCCAAATCATTGTGCACCGAAAGGAAACTTATATCGGTTTAAGTGTAATATTAACCATGAAAACAAGGATTCCAGGCTTACCATAAAGTAGCTTCACTTTTCTCTCATAGACAATCACTACTCCTCCTGATAAAAATGCAACAACCGTTAAGCAGAGGCGTGGAGATATCCTTAATTGAAACGGAAAATGAAATATCAAAGAGAGAGAGAGAGAGAGAGAGAGTGCACCCATGAGAATTCCAGAAAGTCTAAGAGCCATGGGAATCGATGGGTTCAGAATCTCTTCGCTGCAAACAAGTAAAAGAAACAGTATCATATAACGAGTTAGTTTAGGTGTGATATAAATCGAGTACACTAGAAGAAATATACGCATATAAGCATGCAATCGTTACCAGATCTTGATGATATTGAGCTTGTCTAGCTTTTTCCTGTTCATCTTCGCGTGCATAGTGGCGGCCATCCTTCAACATGGACCGAGAGAGAAAGCGATTACAATTTTCATTTCTCGATTTAGAAATAAATTAAGTTGAAGCAAATCAAAATCCAGAATCACCGGTAAATAAGGTTACACGGTGAAAGAAAAAGAAATCGAAATCGAAATCGAAAAGGCGTGCGTAAATGAGACAAAGATTTACATGCTTTTGAATCATCAGTTCGTTACATTCACACATCAGAGTTGCAGTTCTACGTTACATATTGTCTATACAAAGAATAGCTATCCGTTGTAGATGCTTTGAAGAAACAGAGAACGGACGTGCATGGTGACCAAATTTTGAAATCAAAGAGAGGATGAGCGAATGGGAATTGGAAAACGCGTTGATGATGAGAATTTCATCGGTTCAAGAATTTCAAACTCTTTGTGATGAATGCCATAGGGAAAATTTGAGTGAAAGCGCAGTTAAGTCTACAGTGAAAAGAGCGTCGTTGCTAACAGAGTTTGCTAACTAAAACAGATGCAAAATGAAAACAAGCAGAGTGTATAGGAACGCAGTACCATATTTGGCCGAGTGGAGCCTTTCGAGCAAGAAGTTGGTGAGAGTAAAACATATTCCAGCCACAGAGAGATTAAACTGTGTATATCTTGCAAGTAGGAAGAAGGACTCAGTTTATGATAAATTCAAAAATAAAAAAGAGAAGCGTGTGAAAGCGAGCCTTGCAACACTCCCCACTCTCTACCCGCCAAAAGCAATACGCAATGCAGCAAGCCGAGGGGAAGGGACTTAGTAAACAGAGGGATACCCGCAAGTGCACCGAATCTCCCCGTACTACAAAGCGTGATTAATCCATGTGTCAATGTGGGGGTGTTTTAGTGGAGTACCTTTGTTTAGTGCACTTCTGGCTGTTGGAGTGGGGCCTACTCGTCAAGCGCACTAGTGATTTCGTAAGTAAAATCATAACAAATTCAAAATTGACACCTTCCATGTGATTGCACAGGCTATGAAGAACTTGGGTTAAGTTATTATATAATTTCATCAGAACTCTCTTTTGTCTCTATCAAGAGAAACTCTGTTTTACGATTAATAATACAGTATAAATATATATAACAATATTTATATAGATTGTTAAAATAACTCTTACCAAATTATTAAAAATAACTCAAATTAATACTTAATAAAAATATGCAGAAATTTTTTTTTCTTAATTAAATTCATATAAAATCCATTACATATTTTATATACCTAATAAAAAAATATAGGATTTGATTTTCTAATTAAATTCTTATAAAATCTATTGCATATCTTAAAATATGAATATATAACTTACAGTCATATTTTTATGCTGAATTTTGCAGTATTTTTAAATAATTTTAAAATACTGTATAGAAAATTTTTTAACTAATAATATTTAGATGTGTATTTAAATAATAAGTTTATTTAATAATAATTTATTATATTTAAATAAATTGAAAAGTGGTTAAATTTTTTAATAAAAAAGACGTAATAAAATTAAATAAATTAAAATTTAAAAATAAAATATTATTATTATATTAATATATTTTTTATATTCTTAATTTTATTATTATTGATATTTAATTATTTAATTATTATATTAATATATTATGTTGTAATTTTTTTATTTATAATAGATATAAATTACTTAAATAGAAATATACTATTTGAAACTAAAAGCTTATAAAAAAATTAAAAATAAAATAAACTAACAAATTTAATATAATATATATATAATAAGAATCATGTAAAAAATAATATATTTTTAAATAAATTATATATAATAATATATATTTTTTATAATTTGTCATGTAAATTTTTTTATATACTGATAAAAATTTATTTTAATGCGGTAACCACAACAAAATTTTAGGTAACACGACACCTACCTATTTTTATTCTTATCATTATAATTAAGCAATTATGTTATTTTAATTTCATAAACTTATTTGTCACTGTAAAAAGTAGTAAATTGATTAGCAGGCGTGAAGTGTTTATAACTTTTTTATTGAATCGCATAATCGAGTTACGTACTTTAGCGTCTCGTTTCACATTAAATTTCAAAATTTTAAATTTATCTAAAAAATTACTATTAATAGTATTATTTATTAATGACAATTACATCTATTGCCATCACCTTTGGCAAGCGGATTGCAGAGTAAGCAGTAACTATCTATCTTCTTCCTTGAGACATGAATTTTTCTCATTTATAATTAAATATATTTTTAATTCAAAAAATAGAAGATCATAAGTTATGACTTATGAAAAATAAAATTTTGACATGACATGAAAGAAGAAAAAGGATATAATGTCCCACCTTCCGACTCTGCAAGGATGAAGTCCATACACAACAAGAAGAAGGTTAAGTTGCAGGAGATGTTACGCCTAAAAATAAAGAAAAAGACTACAGGAATGATGAAGATAAAATGGCAAACTGGGTAAACATACTACTTGAAGAGTAAGAAAAAGCAAACTATATATAAAACAAAGAATGAAAGATGAAGGAGTACTTATTTTCCTTCTCGATTTGTTAGTTTAGAAGTTTTAAGATCTTTATCAAAAAGTAAGGAAGAAGAATAAAAAAAATCCTATAAAATTCTTCTTTCTAAAGAAAATTTTAAACAAAATAATGTTTCAAAAGAAAAAATTATATCGAAAAGAGAAATATTTTGCTTCTAAAGTAATTAAAGAAGAAAATAATTTAATGAATAGACTACACATTTCATGAACTCACGTGATTATGTTTTTTTTATTCATTAAGATGACGAATACATGTGAGGTTAAAAGAATTCATGAAATAATTTATATAAATAATGACATGTATGAATTTCTTTTATAAAAATATATATTTTTATCCACAACCTAAAAGAGAGACTTTTCTTTTTATTGAATTGAGAATAGTTACATAAAGTTAGACTAGCTAAGGATTCACAAAGCACCACAACTAACAAATCAACCCAATTCTAGGCAATGTTTCTCTGTATTCAGGTTTAGCCTAGAATACACCTCTTTCCATACCAAGGAACCACACAATCCTTTTAAGTATTTGGGTCTTACTCTATTGCACCTAATTTAGTTTGAGAGATCGGTCTACCGAGATCATTGCAGTCTTCTAATTCAGACCCTTGATCCTCATTTTGGATCATAACAATGCATTTTCAAGTGAAAGTGGCAGGAAGAGATGACAATGCTCCCCGGCTAACAAGTAACTGACAGATATCATCATATCCCCAAACTCTAGCCATGTACAAAGGGGTGGCACCCCTCTTGTTCGTAGCATTAAGGTTCACACCTTTGTCGACAAAGACTTGAACGGTCCCTATATCGCCACCCTCCACAGCCATATGCAGGGGCACGTGACCTTCCTCGTCTTGACATTCCAAGTCCAAGCCCGCTTCACTAAGCATCAACACCACATCCTTGTGTCCTTTAACAGCCGCAGCATGAAGCGCCGTCAAACCATAATGATCACAGAACTTGTCCCTCCCACCACTCCGTAACAGCCACTCCAATTGCTTCACATCTCCACGCCTAGAAGCCTCTAGTATTGCCTCTTCTTGCTCCTCAATCTCCACCACCTCTTTCTGAAGACAACAAACATCACTTATAAGAGACTAAAACAGTAAAATGGAACATGATGGGCCTACCATTAATAGCACAAAACACTATCCTTTAATCAAAATTTAAATTTTATTTTATTTTTAATTATTTTTGTTTATTCATGTATTTAAAAAAAACATTAAATTATATTTAATAGCGCAAAACAGTAAATATTGCTGAGAGAACTGATTTAAAAATAAAGTATTAAAAATTAGATTACAATAGAAATTACAGAAAGAGATTTATAAATTGTATTTTTTAACAAAATTTTTCATTTTGAAATTTATAATTAGTTAGCATTTATTTTATTAAACTTTTAAAAAATATTATAGAATTTAATGTACTAGTAATATTAAATAACATACATAAAAATATATGATTTGTTGTTTTTTATTTTATACTCTTAATTATATGTTGAAATAATTCATATTTTTAATATTAATTTTTATTGTACAAATTATTCAGATAAAATTATAATTATATATATATTGATTAACATTTACACATTTAATATATTAACAGTATTACATATTATAATTTTTAATAAAAATATTATTCATAAATTTTAATTATATATATTAAATATGCTTTATAAAATTATTTATTAAATTGCCTCAGTGCCATTAACAGTGTGCTTGTTTTAAATAAATAGGAAGGATTGAAATTGTTAGTGATGTAATGCTGCATTTCCTTGATTTGGTAAAATTACAGTACTGAAATTATATGTTTCAGTGAATCCCACGTCAAAAAAATTTCCTTGTTTTGGAGGCAAGAAATGCAGCCTGCTGCAGTTTTCTAGTTTATTTAATTGTTTAAAAATATGTAAAAAATGTTATTTTATGACAAAAAAATAAAATAAAAATTATATTGAGATAAAAAAATATAATAAAAATATCTGACTTTTTAAAGTTACTGTTTTTTAAATTATTATAAAAATATTATTATATTATTTTTAAATTTGTTTCCTTTCGATATCTATTCATCACAATATATCATTTCTATTCTAATTCCATTTTATTTCCATCCTTGATCCTTCTTATTCAATCTTCTCTATTTCAGCCCTTCGTCTTTTGTTTTTTCCAAACAACCCTTGGTTCAAACAAAGCATAAAAAGAAAGCTATAATTAGAATTAGAGAGAAGTTGAGGTACTAGAAGACAAAATATGATGGAAGCAGCAAAGCACTCACGTGGTCACCAGCAATGTTTATGTTCGGATCCGCCACGTGTACCTGATGAGGGCCACTGAGGTTATTGGAGTGGAGGGGGTCGTGAATTCTTAAGCCGGCTTCGAGGAGGAGGTGAACCATGTCGTCGGGGTTAGCCAAGCGGGTGGCGACGCGGAGGAGCGAGTCAGCTTGGGTGGGGGAAAAATCGGGGAGGAGGGAACGCTGTCGTTTAATCAAGTTCCTGACAGCATCTAAATCTCCGCGAGTGACGGCGTCGTGGAGAAGGAGGGGACCCACGAAGGCAACCTTGAGTTTGAGGTCACAAGTGGAGAAACCATAGGGGCGAGAGGCGAACCAAGCGTTGATGGAGGAGGAGTCGGCGACGAACTCTGCGGTTTTTATGAGGAAACGGTCGGAGGGGGAGCGAGGGTAGGAGCGTGGGAGATTGGATTGTGGCTTGAGGATGACCTGGAAGGTGGCGACGGACAAGGGGGGAATGAGTCCACTGGGTGGGTTAACGAGGAACTTGTTGGGGGATGAGGTTTGGATCTTGAAGGCCACTGGTGTGGTGAGGCTTAGAGACTTTAGCCGCACCGTGGCTCGGCATTTGCAGTTCAATGAAAACTCTATCCGTACCTCTGAAGGTTCGCACACTTCCACTAGTCCCTCCATCTACCAACCCTCGTCTAGGCGGAGGAGGAAATTTATTCATGTTTTTTTTTGGCATACTTGATACTGTAAATCTTTAATATCTTACAAATCTTACCACGTGATGACCCAACCCCAAGTAGGCACCATTGGACTACTGTCGTTTCTAAACTGGACTTGGTCAAAGCATTAGTGAACTTATTTAGTGTCTATTTTAATTGACTTATTTTTTAATAATTAATTTTATTTAAAAGTTAATTTAAACTACGTAATTTATGTTTGAATTTTTTTAAATTTTAGTATAATTTTTTTAACTTAATAAAAATTATAATTTATTACGTGATTCAAACATAAATTTAAATATAAACTTTCAAATCACATTTTATGTTATAAAGTTATCAAAAATTTTCAAACAAATTTCAAATTACATTTATATTTTCAAACTTAAATTTATAAACATTTATTAAATATTCAAACATACAAGAACTCTGGTCGTGGCCCGAGTCTCACAATTTATTCTATTTTAGTATATCCAAACAAAATGCCATTTCTTTCCCAATTGATATAATATTAAAATAATAAATAATGAAATTTATTTTTCTAATTTATTCTCTTGTTTCCTGTAATACCTTCCATCGGTAATACGAAATCATCAAAATATTTGTACCTTCTTATTTCTTTGATAAGTTTCTATGAGGGATATTATAATTGAGAAAGATCAATATACACAATGTTTCATCGTTTTCAAGCACGCCTATCAAACATACCAAGGTAAAGGCAAAAAAAAATATATGTAATTTATTTTAAAAAATTGTCTTCACACATAATGTAAACGTGTGAGGTTAATTTAATTAAAAAAACAGTAATGTTCGCATGAACGTAATTAATTATCACAGAAAGTCATTCAATATAATACAATTATTATATTTTTTATTTTACATATCACATGAATTTACTGTTTATTTATACTATATATAAATGTACGAGTACGAGGTTAATTTAATTTAATTATTTGTAACGATGATGTTCGCATGAATTTAATTAATTTTCAGAGAAAGTCAATCAATATAATATAATTATTATGTTTCTATTTTAGCTATCACGAACTCAAATTGTTTCTAGAGTTTATTTTACCTTACTTAAATTCATGAAGCTTTAAATGTACATTAATGTTATGTTTGGAAAAAGTAGTAGATAAATCAGTTGAAAGTTGAAAATTATATTATTAAATAAAAAACGTTTGATTAAATTACTTGTTGAATTAACTTATAAATCTTTATCTTTATCTTTATCTTTATATATATAAAAGTAGATAAGTTTTAGAAAAAAATTTGCAATGAATTTTAGAGAGGATTTTGTAATTACTCTTTAACATAATAATCTTTATATAATAATTAATAATTACTATTTAAGACCATCTTAAATGTTTTAATTTAAATCAATTAAATTCATTTAATTTTAATTAGTAATTTTGATATATTTTTACCTTTAAAAATGTCTTAAATAATTTAATTCAAACATTTATTTATAATTAGCAGTTTTTATATATTTAAAAGGTACATTCATTTATAAATTATTTGTGTTAAATATTGTTATGTTTGGAATTATTCATATGTTTGAAATTCAATTAACCCATCCGTTTTAGAAAATTAAAGTAAATAAAATGAATGGGTCGTGGATGGTTAATGATCCGTTCATTTTCTCCTAATTCATATAATTATTAAAATATTAAAATAGAGCAAATGACTCTTTGTTATGTTGGTAATGAAAATTTTTAGTATTCAAAATTATTTTTCATTTTCAACTCACTTAAAAAATCAATTTTATTAAAAAAATATTAACAATTATCATATTAACCTACACCTTTATTTTTTATTTTTTGTCTCATTATTGATACATTTAATAATATATTTATTAATTTTTTATTATTTGAATATTGAATAGTCCGATATATTGAAAATATAACTTATTTGCTATGACATGACTTTGTTTTGTAGAGATTTTATGGCCTTAGTTTGAATATTTGAATGGTTATTAAAATAAAAACAAAAAATAGTACATTTATATTTTATTAGGTATATATATCTGGAAAAGTACAGTTTGTTTGTTCGAAAAAAAAATTCAACTAAAATTCTTACAAAATAACACCTACTATTTCAGCGCTTTCTGAAATAACACTAGAAAGGTGGATTAGAAGATAATGGTTCAGATCATTTATTTGTGGTTCTCTCATGAGTTTCAAAATAAAACTCAAGTCAATATTATGGACATGATTTTAGTCGATGAAAAGGTGAAACTTTTATATTTCTTTAGTCGAAATGCATAAATTTTCCTTCTTATTTAATTTATTTAATTCCTTTATATTATTTCAGAGTTCACAGATTCATTGTACTGTTAGGAAGGATATTATATCACGTTGTGAAAAACTACTACATGAAGGCAATGTGTATATCATAGAAAATTTTATGGTAATTACTCCTGAAAAGAAGATGCAAACCACTAAACACAAATAAAAATTAAATATGATGGCAACCACCAGAGTTTCAAAAGTCAAATGTGACAGTATCTCTTTTAACTGTTTCGATTTTGTTCTATTCTAAAAAATTTTAAGTGGGCTAGATGAATTATATCTAATTGGTGAGTTTTATTTTTTCTAATTTGAATCGCTTTCATATTTATCCATGTATGCTACTTTATTATTTTAAAATAATGTTTGACACATGTTCAATTATATGTCATTGGTCATGTAGTTGAGAAAGATAATCTCAAAGACGTAGAAAAAAATGGAAAGAAAAGTAAACATATTGATTTGATTCTCAAAGACTTAGAGTGAGTATTATTTTATAACATATTTTAATGGCTAACATATTTGTTTAATATTTTTTTTCTTTCATTACTTTATACTAATTAGGGTTATATTATATTGAATTTGTTTCATAGGAATCAAAGATTTGTTTGCACTTTATGGGAGGAGTTTGCTGATCAAATGGTTGATTTTTTAAAGAATGAAAATTTTAATGCTTTACCTATTGTGATTATTCAATTATGTAAAATAAAAACATTTGGTGGTATGATTTTTTATCTATATTTAACTCTTTTTAATTGTGTGATATTTATTATTATCAACAAATTATATTTCATGGTTGTTTCAGGAACTTTAGGTATATCAAATGCTTATAATGGGACAAAGTTATATATCAAGCATAACATAAAAGAGGTTATTGATTACAAGAATAAGTAAATATTTTAATTATTTTTATTTATAGATAATCATTATGTTTTGCATGATGTTTTCTATTTTTGTTAACTTATAAACTATCTAATTTGTGGTATAGGATAAATATGAATGATGCAGGTATAAGTCGAGTATTAAGTCAGATGTTTGGGTACTCAATGGAAGGTGATTTGCTCCAAGCTCAAAGCATGACCATACATGAAATAATTGAGACAAATTATGTATGTTTTATATTGAACTAATGAAGTGACATGCATATAATTATTTTTAAAATATATAAAAGTCATAATTTGAAGTTTCGCTTTGAAAAGGTTGGATTTGTTGTTGTTCTTGCCCAAGTTATTGAAATTGAATATGAGAAGAGATGACAATATGACCCGTGTAACAAGTGTTTCAAGAAGCTAAAAGAAAATGGACATAAGTTTTTTTATGAAAATTGTAATAGATATATCATTCTTACTCTCAGGTATAAACATTACTACTTATAAACTATATATTCAATTTAAAATTAATTTAGTTAAATTTTTAGTGGACTTATGACCAATTCTTTTTTCTAGGTTTAAGTTGCATGTTAATGTTATAGATTCTACTGGATCTGCTTCTTTTACAATATTTGAAAATCTCTTATCACAGTTCATTGGAAAGTCTGCAAAATAATTGAAAACAGAAGTGACTGAGGTTGATTGTATTAATATTGATTTCATTTAATCTTTTATATTTATTTTAATCTATAATATTTTTAAATTTGTTTTCTACTCTTATAGGCAAATGTGAGTAGTGGATTTCCTCTTGAGATTGATACAATGTTATTCAAGTTCTTTCTATTCAAAGTTGAAATTACTCAAGCAAATTTAGATGCCAATTGGGTTTCATACAATGTTAAGAGACTTGCTAATAGTGTTGATCTAATTAACCAGTTTAAGTCATTGCACGGTATTAAGGTATATTTTTTAAATTATTAATGATTGAAATAAAGGTGTCAAATTTTGATTTCAAAATAAAATAATTAAATCTTGCATATTAGTGGAACGATGATGAAGTAGAAGGAGATTCAGATGACACTTTGTCAACTCAAAATGCTGACAGTTTGAAGGTTGTAATTTGTTTTGAATAAATTTAATCGTCTTCAAATTTAAATAAAATTTCATTTGATAAATTTATTTATTTTCAAATCTCTAAAAAAATTTGTATTATGTTTGATGCATGAAGACTTTGAATGAAGGTGCTTACTTAACCATGAGCAATGTTGAAGATGAGCAAATAATTGATATTACTAAAGTAGTAAATGAATTGACTTCAAATGAGTAATATTTTAAAAATTATTGGTTTAAATGTTGATTATAATTTAAATTGTATTAGGATTCCCATATAGTTTATGTGGAAGTAGCTCCGAGTGTCAAGCAACCCTGCAAGATGGTAATGAATGAAGATGAAATGAGTTCATCAGTTGTTGAGGAGTCATAAACACAATGTTTAAAGACAAAGCTTTTAAAGAAGGTCATCATTAAGAAGGAGTTAAATGCTTAATTTCCATAAATTTAATTTTCTTTTTATTTATATGTGACCTTTTTTTTATGTTTAGTTATAAAGTTATTTGTAGTTTCTCATTCTATAGCTAACAAACTTGTACAATATTCTTTCTGTAACAATCTTGCACAATTTTCTTTCTGTAACAAACTTGTACAATATTCTGTTATTTTGTCCTTTCTGCTATTAGAATTCTAGAAGAGTATGAGTTGTATTTAGAGAAATCATTGTATATAAATATTGGATGATCTTTTGCTGAATAGTAACGGAGATCAAAAACATTCCAAAACATTGTCATTCTTACCTTTTGTCATCTTTCGTCATATGGTATCAGAGCTCCCTCCTGGAGCTATGCTTATTCCTTCCAAATGTCTTCTACTCCTCCTGACAGTCCAAAGAACTCCAATAATGAAGGTCCTAAGAAAGAAAACCGTGGCAATGAAGCCACTGATCCTACCATGAAACCATCAAGTCCCTTCTTCATTCATCCTAGTGAAGGACCCTCCTCTATCTCCATAACCCCTATCCTTGATGGCACAAACTATCAGTCTTGGTCTCGTGCCATTAAAATGGCTTTAATCTCAAAAAACAAGATTGCTTTCTTGTTAGGCACCATTCCTGTTCCTGAGGTTGAAGAACCTCTTTATTCTGCTTGGGAAAGGTGCAATACCCTCATCATGTCATGGTTACTCAACTCGGTTACTCCCTCCATCGCCCAAAGCATTATTTTCCTCGAGTGTGCCATAGACATTTGGAATGACCTTTGAGAACGTTTTTCGCAAGGCGATCTCCTCATACTCGCAGAGCTCCAGGAAGAAATATATGGACTTTCTCAAAGAACTCGTCCTGTCTCTAAGTTCTACACCGCACTGAATACCCTCTGGGAAGAACTCGATAACTACAGACTCTTTTCTTCTTGCTCGTGTCCTGCAAAAACTTACCACCAACAGGATTTCATAATCCGATTCCTCAAATGTTTGGACGAGCGCTTCTCTATTGTGCATTCCCAAATCCTTTTGATGGATCCTCTCCCCGCTATCAACCGCACCTTCTCCATGGTTGCCCAACAGGAACGACAACTCGCTTTGTCTTCGCCTACTGAGCCCAACGCCTTTATGAACGCAACTAATCACTCTTTCTCCGGCAAAGGGCGTGGCTTTGGTCCTTCTTCCGCTGTCAAAGGAGTCTCCAACAAGAAATGCTCCTACTGTCACCGTCCTAGACACACCATTGACGTGTGTTGGGGAAAACATGACTATCCCCCTGGCCATCCTCGATACCTAGGGAGGCCAAAGTTCAACCGCGATGCCTCTGGTTCTTCCTCCATCAACCACGCAGTTGTGATTGAACCAATTGAGGGAGGCAACGGTTCAGAGAAGGAGGAAGGCCCCATCACATTGACCCAGACCCAATATCAAACCCTGATGTCTTTGCTCCAACCACAGCAACAAAAAAATGCTTCTGATGTAACAGGACCCAACTCTCTCGTTCAGCCCAATAGAGTGAATCTCATCAACACTCCAAATGCTCAAAAAAATTGAGTCCAGTGGTACCTCCTTTGTTTTTTGCACTAACACACACAACACCTTTTACACCACTCACAATGTCCCCTGGATCATAGATTCAGGAGCAACATATCATGTTGCATCTTCTCTAAATTATTTTTCAAATTATTCTAACATTAAACCAATACAAATAAGTTTACCTGATAAGTCCATTGTTATTGCCCATATATCTGGAACAGTCATTTTCTCTCCCGAATTTATCATTCAGAATGTTTTGTTTGTTCTGGAATTTCATTTTAATCTTTTATCCATATCCAAACTCATAATGACTCATAAATATATTCTCATATTCTATGATTCTTTTTGCACTATCCAGGACAAGCGTACATTGGGGATGATTGGTTTGGCTAATCTTCAACAAGGTCTCTATCATCTACAAGTCAATAAAGAAGCCAAGATTCTTTCACCAAAAAAACCTTCCATTAATGAAAGTGCTACCAATGTCGTCTCAAACTCCAACCTTTGGCATTATAGATTATGACATCTCTCAGGAAACCGATTAAATATGTTATGTGAACAATTTCCTTTTATTCCAAAACATATTAATGAAAATTGTGACATTTGTCATTTTGCAAAAGAAAGAAAATTGTCCTATTGCCTTAGTGATAGTAGAGCTTTTAAAAACTTTGATTTGGTGCACATGGACATTTGGGGACCTTTTTCTAAGGCCTCAATTCATGGTGAAAAATATTTTTTAACTATCTTGGATGATTTTAGTAAATATACTTGGATTGTCTTATTAAAATCAAAATCCGAAGTAAAAATACACGTTCAAAATTTTATTTCCTTAATTGAAAACCAATTTGATTCCAAAATAAAATGTATTCGAACGGATAATGGTCTAGAATTTTTTCTTAAAGATTTTGTTGCTTCAAAAGGGATTATACATCACACCCTTGTGTTTATACTCTTCAACAAAATGGGCGTGTTGAGAGAAAACACTAACATATTCGAGAAAACACTAACTCTCATGTTCCAATCTCAATTGCCCAAACATTTTTGGTCTTATGCAATAAAACATGCAGTTTATCTTATTAATCGTATACCTTCTCTAGTTACAAAGAAACAAATTCCTTATGAACTTTTGCATAATCAAAAACCTGATTTTTCCATGCTTAAAGTTTTTGGTTCTTTATGTTATGCATCAACAATTGGGCCCAAACAAAAATTTGATCCTAGGTCTAGAGAAGGAGTTTTTCTCGGTTATCAATTTGGTACAAAAGGCTATGTTATTTTAGACTTAAAAAATAAAGACATTTTTGTCTCTAGAGATGTTATCTTCTATGAGTCCCATTTTTCTTTTAACAATAAACACGAGGCCCAAGAAAAGGAAAAGTTATTTCCTCCACAAACAGAGACCTTCAATGACTTTGATCCTCTCCAACTCACATCTCAACCCAACAATTTTACACCTCAGGACCAACTTCCATCACAGACTCCCATTTCACCTCAAAACTTATCTTCCCCAACAACCTCATCCTCTCCACAAATTTCGCCATCAACCTCTCCATCCCAGTCAATCTCGCCACATATCTCTTCATCACCTCATCTAAGCCTTATTCCTTTTATACCAAATGAACCACTTGTGGCTCTAAACCCAATGTTTGACTTGCGGATTTTGTTTGCTACAACATAGAGACCAAACTAAATCAATCATCGTCAACGTGCAGGTATCCTATTCAATCTGTTCTTTCTTCCATTACTGAGTTTGAGTGTCATTATATCATGAACCTAACTTCTGAGATTGAGCCCCGAAGCTATCAAGAAGCAATTTTGAAGTCGTGTTGGAAAGAAGCCATGAAGGATGAAATTGAGGCTTTAAAGCTAAACAAAACTTGAGAAATTGTGGAAACTCTTAAGAATGTCAAGCCCATAGGATGTAAATGGGTTTACAAATTCAAAAGGAAACTAGATGGGAATGTGGAGAGATATAAGGCGAGGCTCGTTGCGAAAGGATTCTCCCAAGTTGAAGGGATAGACTTCTTCGAGACTTTTTCTCCAGTGGTTAAAATGGCCACCATACGAGTTATCCTTGCCCTAGCTTCCATAAACAATTGGCAATTGCAGCAACTAGATGTTAGTAATGCCTTTCTACACGGTGACTTGTCCGAGGACGTTTACATGAAGATTCCTCAAGGTCTATATAGGCATGAATCCTCACAGTGTTGCAAGCTCAAGAAATCTCTCTATGGGCTCAAACAAGCAAGTCAAAAATGGTATGAAAAACTCTCTAACCTTCTTTTCTCATCTGGTTATTCACAATCACATGCTGATCACAGCTTGTTTATCAAGCATGAAAAAGGAGAATTTACTGCTTTACTGATATACGTTGATGATATTGTTTTAACTGGTAACTCTTTCACTAAAATAACAAAGCTCAAGCATACACTTCACTTCAATCCAATTTTTGAATTAAAGATTTGGGGTAACTCAAATATTTTTTGGGATTAGAAGTAAGCAGGTCTGATGATGGCATCTTTGTATCTCAACGAAAATACTGCCTTGAGTTACTTTCAGATTCAGGATTATTGGGTTGTAAACCAAGTTCCACACCTATGGATAGCTCTCTTTGTTTAAAACAGGATAATTCGAGTGAATTACTTGATGATCCCTTATCCTATAGGCGCCTTGTTGGTCGTTTGATTTACTTCACAACAACTCGTGTAGAGATCGTTTTTGCAACTCAGCAATTAAGTCAGTTCATGGCAAATCCTACATAGTCTCATCTAGGTGCTGCAAAAAGAGTTCTTAAATACTTGAAAGGCTGTCCAAACAAGGGGCTCTACTTCAAATTGAATTCTCCTATCCACCTAATTGGGTTTAGTGATGCCAATTGGGCAACTTGCGTCTCCACACGCCGTTCAGTCATAGGGTATTGTTTCTTCATAGGAAACTCTTTAATTTCCTGGAAAACCAAAAAACAGAATACCGTGTCTCGTTCTTCATCCGAAACAGAGTATAGAGCCCTTGCTACTAGCACCTGTGAGTTGCAATGGTTAACTTACCTTCTCAATGATCTCAAAATCCAGTGTTCTAAGTCAGCAACACTTTATTGTGATAATCAGAGTGCTTTACACATTGCTGCAAATCCCGTATTTCATGAAAGAACGAAACACTTGGAGATAGATTGTCATTTGGTTCGAGAAAAGGCACAAGCATGTTTAATGAAACTTCTACCAGTTCCATCATCTCGACAACTTGCTGATATCTTCACTAAAGCTCTTTCTCCTCGGTTATTCCATGCAAACTTGTCCAAGCTAGAGATGGTTGACACTCCTCTCTCCAGCTTGAGGGAGGCTAGCAAACTTGTACAATATTCTTTCTGTAACAATCTTGCACAATTTTCTTTCTGTAATAAACTTGTACAATATTCTGTTATTTTGTCCTTTCTGCTTTTAGAATTCTAGAAGAGTATGAGCTATATTTAGAGAAATCATTGTATATAAATATCGGATGATCCTTTGCTGAATAGTAACGGAGATAAAAAAAACATTCCAAAATACTGTCATTCTTACCTTTTGTTATCTTTCGTCATAATAGCAATGTTATGTGAGTACATTTTGAATAAATAAATTTAACTTTTAAGTTCTTTTAGAAAAATCATTAGCACACTTTGATTTAAGTCCTTCATTATTTATATTACCCAAGTTATATTAGTGTGATTAGCATATATACCTTTTTATAACTTTAATATTAATATAATTTATTCTTGCAAAGTTTAAGGTCATTTTGAATTATTTAATTCAAATAACTTAAATGCATTTATTTCTAATTAACAATTAAATGCAATTTTAAATTTTAATATAAATGATCTAGTTTAAATTTTATTCTTGAAAACTGATAATTTGTATATGATTAATGAGGAATAATGGAATGAATGAATAAGAATTAATGAGTATACATATATATATATATTAGCATATTTGTACGTTCTTTATAACCTTAATATTAACATATAGAATCATTCATGAAGAATAGTAGAATGAATAAATTATAATTAATTAATTTATATATTTAAAATGTCATAAAATAATAGAATTAATATTAATTTAGTATTTGTAACTTTAATATTAATATATTAATGCATTTATTTTTGTAAAGTTTACGACAATTTTAAATTTTTATATTAATATTTGAAAGGTCATAAAACAATAGAATAATAAGAATTAATATTAATTTAGTATTTGTAACTTTAATATTAATTTATTATTGCATTTATTCTTGCAAAGTTTACGACAATTTTAAATTTTTATATTAATGGTTTACTTTAAATTTTATTATTAGAAATTGCTAATTGGTATCTGATTAATAAGGAATAGTAGATTAAATAAATAAATTTTATCATTACTTTATTTTTTGATATTACTATATTTGTCAAAACTGCCTTAAACATTGCACCTCTCGAATATATCAAAACTACATATTAGAGATAAATACATTTAACTGATTTGAATTAAACCATTATTGTAAGAATAAATGCAGTAATATGTTTTGATATTAACTTTAAAATAAATGCATTATTGAAATTTTTCCTTTTTATTATTACTTTAACTTTTGATATTGATATATTTGTTACATAACTAAATCAGCTCATATAAAATTAATTAGAAAACTCTTGCCTATCTGTATAACATCCATACATTACAGAAGAATATTTAAATATAATTTAAATATTTTATTTCTTTCCTTCAAATAACTAATATTTTTATTAATAATAATATTAACATATCTTAATTAATTTTAAACTTTCAAATAGTTTAAATATTATTATAAAAATTTATAAAGTTGTTCTTATCATAATATTTATTTGTATTTTACATATGACTCATGAATTTTATATTATATCAAGATTTGTAATTTTAATTGATATAAGGATTTATTTTTGTATTCAATAAAATTATTCTTCTTTTATTTTCTATTTGAATCTTAATTGAAATTTTAAAATATATAAAGTATATAAAAATTGACATGTAAAAATTTATTTATCTTTTTTTTCAATCTATTTATATTTTATATTATTCAATATAATATAATTTTATTATTATATATTTTTATATTTAAATTATAATTTATAATATTAATATATACTAATATACAATATAAATAAATTTTTGGGACACATAAATATATTTACTAATTTATAATTAAATCATTATTAATAATATTTATAATATTTAAAGTCACATATAGATTATTTTTAACTGTTATATTTATTTTTTATAGATAATTTATTTTAAAAAATAATCAAAATTTTTGTTTAATATTTTTTTATCTCTCTGTTATATTAAAAATAATTAATTTTATATTTTAATTTTAATTATTTTAAAATTAAATTATATATATATATATATATATATATATATATATGATGCAATAATAAGAGGTTAAATTATGATACATAACAATAGTTTTAGAAATACAAAATAGACTTATTCAACAAAAGAGTTATTATTTTTTATCCTTAAATTGTGTGTTATATAA